GGGGGAGATTAGAGTTGGTGATCTGGTGGGAGTCACGAGAGTGTGGGGGGGGTGGGGGGGGCAGGTAGCTGGTATGGGGATCTGAACCCTTGACCTAGGTGTTATCAACACCACACCCTAACCAACTGAGCTAACTGGACAGCCCTCTTTTCTATTTCTTTTATGTTAGTTTTTTTGGCTCTTTTTTCCACTAGCTAGTCTTTCCAATGGTTAATTACCCAAGTTTCAAAACAAAAATCTTGGTTGCTCACATTTGATTAAGAATCCAACAGTTACTTATCAGAAAGAGACCAAGACCCCTTTCATCAGTTTGTTCTTAAGAACTTTTACCCCAACTACAAATTCAGAAACATAAATGTATAATCTTTAACTTATCTCTAATGTGGCCCAAATAACAAGTTAAAAGATTTAAATATTGTAGCCCCAAACTAACATAAATTCCCTAGCTAAAAATTAACCTTAAATAGAACTAATCTCAAATACTGGTCAGTCAACACTAAGTCCATGCAATAAACATCTTATTGTTCCTGGATAATTATTTTACAAAGAACATATCATTTAACTAATGAAGAAACAAGCCACTTGATTGAAGTTCACTAATCTGATTCTTAATTTTTTTTTTTTTTTTTGGTACCTGTTTGGTACAGGGATCCAAACACTTGACCTTAGTGTTATAAAGCCATGCTCTAACCAACTGAGCTAACAGGCCAGCCCAACTACCCTGATTCTTAAAGACATTCACCTAGATAGGCTTATCCTGATCAGAGAATTAAATATAGGTTCTAAATGTTTCTTATATCTGTGACTGTGCTATTTTTCTGCCCAAACCCACTAAAGCACATATCTAGGTGCTTTAATGTTGCCAGACATCTTTATCCTGCATCAAAAAGAGACTGAAGCTCTCAAGAATAAACCTATTCCCTTTATGAGTTTGTTTTAACCAAAATATGAAGGCTGAGAAATTCTGATGAGGGAAAGGGTACAGACTGGTTTAATATGGAGATGCTGAAAAAAGATACTGGCAGACATTATAGACAGCTTATCGTGTTTTCCATAAAATCCATCAACCCTTGTTGGCTTTTTACTTAAGCAGAGCTAATGAGTTTACACACAAAAAATGTGCAAACAAAATTCACTGTTCTGTAGGAGTCTCCTCTCCTTTTTTCTCTTTCTCCTGTATAAGTCCTGTTTTTTGTCTTGGTTGGAAATCAATCCAAAAATTGGTCTCCCTTGTTATGCAAGTGAAATAGTGTCTGAAGTATTCTTTGACGCTACAAATGCATAAACTCTCAATGTCAAAAAGCGTTTGACACCTGAAATTCTCCTCCTGCCCCTGCCCCTCAACGCTTTTGTTCTTTTTGGGCAGCTGGCTAGTACAGGGATTGAACCCTAGACCTTGTTATCAGCACCATGCTCTAACCAAGTGAGCAACCGGCCAGCCCCTAATACCTGAAATTCTAACCTTATTTCCTCAAAAGTCTTTCCTCAACACTTATTCAACTAATTTTAGATTTTTTCTTTTTTGGTTAGGTATATATAATTTCACAGGTTTAAAAAAAAAAAAAATCAAGGGTGATTTCTAAAAGACTAGCATAGAACTCCCAAACTGGCAGAGAGGACACATACTAAAAAGGAAAAATGAATATAATCTAGAAAAATTTTTTTGAAAAAAAAAAAAAGAGAGAAAAGATAAAAAAAAATCTCAAAATAATCATGCAGAATGAAAGAAGCCACCCCTCCCAGTTATATACTGTATGATTCCATTTATATAAAATTCTTGAAAATGCTAATGTACCTAGTAACAGAAAACAAATCACTGTGCCAGTCAGCCACCCACACAAAAAAAGAAAGCAAATCAGTGGATGCCCAGGAAAGGGCGAGGAAAGCAGGGCAGGAGTGAAGGTTTAAAAAGGGGCATGAGGAAATTTTTAGGTGTGATAGATATTGTTTTGATTGTGGCAATGGTTTCATGGGTGTACACATATGTCACAACTTATCAAATTGCTAATTTGAAATTTGTACAGTTATATGTCAATTATATCTCAATATAGCTATTGAAACTTTTTTATTTAAAAAAAGAGGACATGCGGGCCGGCCCGGTGGCGCACTGCTACAGTGTGCCGCTTGGGAGCGCGGCTCCCGCCGAGGGTTCGGATCCCACGTACAGACCGGCCGCTCACTGGCTGAGCGAGGTGCGGGCGCAACGCCGAGGGTTGCGGTCCCATTGCTAGTCCCGGTCCGGTACGGGCGCGACACTGAGGGTTGCAATCCGTTGCCGGTCATGAAAAAAGACAAAAAGGAAAAAAAAAAAAAAAAAGAGGACATGGGGCTGGCTGATTAGCTCAGATGGTTAGAGCATGCTGTTATAACAGTAAGGTAAAGGGTTTGCATCCCCTTGATGTCCAGCTGCGAAAAAAAGAAGACGATGATAAACAGAAAGTATAATACATAAAAAATGGTAAGAACAGCCCCAATACATTAATAACTACAATAAATGTAAATGAACTAAATTGCCAGATAACAAGCAGAGTTCAAGTTCTAGAGAAAGTGGTGACTGGCACAACAATGAGAATGTATTTAATGCCACTAAATTGTACACTTAAAAATGGTAAATTTTATGTTTTATACCACAAGAAAAAAAAAAAGCAGAGATGATATGAGATAAACAAAACAAAAAAAACCCTACAGTTATAAGAGACACCCTTAATCATAAAACACAAAGTTCAAAACAAAAGGACAGGAGAAAATCTATGTGGGCCTTTTTCACAGATGCCCTTTATCATGTAGAGGGAGCTCCCTCTCCCTTCTATTCCTTCTTTGCTGAGTGTTTTTATCACGGAGTATTAGAATTTTTTCAAATGCTTTTTCTGCATTTATTGAGATGACTATATGGTTTTTGTCCTTGGTGACAAAGATGACTGGTAAGGGGATCTTAACCCTTGACTTGGTGTTGTCAGCACCACGCTCACCCAATGAGCTAACCGGCCATCCCTATATGGGATCCGAACCCATGGCCGTGGTGTTTTCAGCACCACACCCTCCCAAGTGAGCCACGGGCTGCCCCAGTGAGCTTGAGATTTTACTCCTTTGGGGTACACAGGAGCAGGTATCACCTTTATTTCAAAGGAGGAAGCTGAGACCCAAGAAAGTTAAGTAACTTACCCAAAGTTGCACAGCTACTAAAGGACTAAAGGTTTGGGCCAGATTCCAGATCAGAATCCTTCCCCATTCCATGACTGTCCCAGTAAAATTCATGAAGGCTTGCTGCAGTCTATATACTAAGAGGTTCTCAGGAAGGGTTACAAGAGTGGGAACTACCACTGAGGGCTCACCACCTGCCAGTCCTGACCTGAGCCACCTCCATACATCAGCTCCCTACATTCTTGCAGCTATCCTGGGAGGCAAAGTCCCTGCCCCATTTTACGGATGAGAAAATTGAATTTTAGAAAGGTTAAGTAGCTTGTCCACTATCGCGCAGCTAACAGGTGCCAAAGTGAGACTTACATGCAGACCATGTGAAGTAAAGTAGTGGTTAAATATTTGGAACCTGGAGCCTTCAAATCACATCTTCAGGACACATTAGCTTTGTGGCCTTAGCCAACTAATATACTTGACTCTCTGAGATCTCTCTGTAAAGTGGGAGCAGTTGGTCTCTACAAGCTAAAAGGACTCCATGGAAGAAGCGACAAACTTCATGATTAAAGGCTTTCTACCCTCCCCACCAGAGCCCTCTGTCCCACAACTTTCCTTACTTTTTAAGGAATTTTGAGGCCAGTGCAGTTTGTTTCCCTTCTTCCTCCTCTGAGTCTGAATCCGAAGATGTTGAACCTGTGTCCCAGTCTTCATCATCTTCAGACTCTTCTGAGTCCTCATCTTCATCCTTAGAGAAAAGAGGATCAGCAGGAAGAATATAGGGAGACTGGCTGGTCTCTCTGCTCTCCCTGTTAACACATGTTCCAGGGATTTTTCAGGAGCATAACAAGAGTGGTTATTCGTGGAATTAAGGTATCAAGAGCTGGAATGAATCACCAACACCCAGATAGAAGTTGTAAGTTGCCCCAGGGACACAGCTCCCCAGGAGAAGACCTGGGCACAGCATCTAGTTCTCCAGATTCCAGTTCACTCAGTGCTCTAATCTAAGAAGTATGGTCTCAAACCAAACTCTACTAAATCCCACACTTCCAAACCCTAAGGTTCTATAAGTCTTTTCTTCTTCCCAGGGACCCAAGAATGGTCTCTGACAGGCGAATTACCCCTCAGTTTAACCTTGGCTCTTACCTCCATCTTTCTGAGGAACTTACGACTCTCCCCAGAAGGAGCCTCTGATTTCTTCTTCAAGAAAGTTGCAGCACTGACTCCATCCTCATCCTCATCCTCATCTGAAGAGCCTGGTAAGAAGGGGATGGGGGAGAGAAGCTAGAATACTGAAGAGTAAGACTGAAGGGAAACCAAGAAGCCAAGCCAAGGGATCCCCTAACTTTGGACTTCCTATTTGCAATAGCGTCTCCTCTCTCACCTTCTGAATCCTCCTCATTCTTTTCAGCATCTTCATCCGCAGACTGCTCGGGGTTCTGGACAGAGGGAAATGAAGAGAATAATTAAGATACTTGCCAACCACAACCCCATCCCATCCCTCCACCCCAGATAGTTTTGTAATGACTCCTTCTCCAGTCACACCCTCCCCGCCAATTTGCAAATGCTTTTTTGAGTTTCAGAAACAGGGTCACTATTCCCACAGTTCAAATAGTCTACCTCTAGCATCCCCACCTGCTTGTAGCTTGTGATATGGGACTCAAAATCTCGGTTATATTTTCGGATCTTCTGGCGCAGCGTGCTCAGAGCCTTGGCATTATTCTTGTTCATCTTCTTCTTCCCTTCCTTATCTTCCCAAAGCTAAAGGAAAGAGGGAAGAGAGAGAGAACAGGAACATGAGATGAAGTCGTACTTCCTGAACTGCAGACTTCACCACCAGTTTTGTGAGTCTTGCTCTCTGTATACCATCTGTACTACTTATTAACTATGTCTTTTGACTTATTATTTATTTATTTTATTTTTTAAAAAATGACCGGTAAGGGGATCTTAACCCTTGACTTGGTGTTGTCAGCACCACGCTTACCCAGTGAGCAACCGGCCATTCCTATATGGGATCCGAACCCGTGGCCTTGGTGTTATCAGCACCACACTCTCCCGAGTGAGCCACGGGCTGGCCCTGTTGACTTATTTTTTTAAAGATTCTTCATATATCACCACTAAAAGTACAAAACCATGAATAAGAGGTGGTAATAAACATAAATTCAAAAAAGTTCTTGGCCAAAAAAGGTTCTTTTCCTTGCTTATCCCATTTTTTGTGTTCTGGGAAAGACTATATACAATAAGGCAAGGAACCCAGAAGAGACATGACCCCTGGAAGCAGATTAGGAGCAGGTCCAGGCCCATACTCCCTCCTAGATCCTCCCTCACCCAGATACCACACCTCATTAAGATAGTCCTCAAGGTCAGCAAGGATGCGGATATAGAACCGGGGGACACCTTCCTTGTCCACAATGCTCTTGGCCTTCCCATATGCTTTTCCCAGGAGCTCAAACTCTTCCAGGCACTTGGTGACATCCCGAATCTTCATGGCATTACGGATGGTCCGGATAAGATTGGTCAGCTCTTCGAACCTGGGTTAGAAGTCCCATACCACGTTGGACATGTCCACCATGGAGAAAACTCACTACTGCTCCCAGAGATTTCCTATCACCCAGCCTCCCCATGGCCTCACCTCTTGTCCTTGGCACTTCGGACAACTCTCTTGGTATCTTCTTCATCCTCACTTAGCAACAATGGCCTGTTTGGAAGGAAGTGAGACCATTAACCTGCTTTCCTAGTTCCAGTCTTTCCAAATTTCCCTATTTCTCTTCTCAGATGGGGTAGGTAGAACTGAGTAACTCAGGCCATCCATACCACATCCATCCTCTTTTTGACTCTTCCTCTTCATAGCCTCATCCTATACGAGGGAACTTCAAAAAGTTCGTGGAAAAATAGAATTAAAAGAGAATACAAATCATTCCATGAACTTTCTGGAGACACTTCATACAACTCAGTCTTTTTTTGTTTGTTTGTTTTTTAAAAGATGACAAGTAAGGGGATCTTAACCCTTGACTTGGTGTTGTCAGCACCATGCTCTCCCAAGTGAGCTAATCCCTATATAGGGACCCAAACCTGTGGCCTTGGTGTTATTAGCACCACACTCTCCCAAGTGAGCCATGGGCCAGCCCTGCAACTCAGTCTTTTAAGTCTACTTCAAGTAAGGCCTTTCATAAAACATAGCACAAAGATGAGTATCCTCTCAAAAATTAATAAATGAAGGTACATATTTACTGTGTGAGACAACTAGTTACATAAAAACACAAGTTACTATAGAAGTAAAGGAAAGAAGTAAAGGAAGGAAGTACTATAGAAGTACTGGAAGAAATAAAGGAAAAGGGTACTGCAGCTATAACGAATGGAAAAGCCTTCAAAGAGGTGGTATCTGAACCAGGTCCCAAAGTATGAGAGGCCAATAGCAAATTAAAAGTCTCAATGGCTATAACATGTTCATTGGTAGTATTTTTCTTTAATGAGAGATCAGACCAGACTCACAGTATTCAGCTGGCAAAATACCTCCATTCTTTTCTTTCCATTTAAAAAATTTTTCCAATTATTTTCTATTTTATGGCAAGTGATGTTGGTTTTCCATTTGTGGCAGTGATATGAAATCATATTGATATTGGCATATATATGTATACACACACACACACCCCCACACATGAGAGTTCTTCAAAAAGTTTATGGAAAGATTTGTATTATCTTTTAATTCTATTTTCCATGAACTTTCTGAAGTACCTGTGTGGGTGTGCGCATATATACAAAAAACATATACGTACAGACACATGGTAAAAATAACGAAGGTGGCGTGTGATTGACATATGTTTGAGAAATAACATTCTATTGTTTCAAAAAGTAAAAGAATTTTAGAGCCAGCCAAAGAACCCTCCCTTCCACACTGTCTCCCTTGTGCTCAAGCATAAGCCCCCCAAAAGCCTTGCCTGTGACTCTTTTTATGCCTCCTGTTTAAAAATAAAATAAAATAAAATAATTTGCAGAGATGGGGGAAGGGTATTTAAGTGGAAGTAAATAACAAGAGAATAACACATGTTTAAGAATCTGCCTGCAGAGCCGGGTGGTGGATTTCAGAGTCACACCAGAGGACTCGCAAATACCAACCAAACATTTCGGGTTTCCTTCTGTAAGCAGTGAGAGGTCACTGAGGATTTTTTGATGGTAAAAGCGGTTGTGACTTTTCTGAGTTTTGGAAAGACCAGTATGATGCACAGCGTGCGTGAGAGGGCAGAGGGGAGAGGAGGAAAGGAAGGAAACAAAAGGTACTGAATCAGATCCGGCCAGTGGATAGTCTCTTCTCTGTGACTCTATCCCTTCTACCTGGTGGGTGTACTCCGACAATTCACAGCACTCTAAGCGTGAAGGTTGTCCCTCCAACACTGCTCCGGTCCCTTAAACTCTCGCCGTCCCACCTCCACTCCCCTCCCGCATACGCGGCCTTGCAAACCCGGCCGAACCCCGCACTACTCGCGTGGTCACCAGGGCGCAGTCCCTCCAACTCACTGTTTGCCGTAGTTACCCCCGACAGGCTTGGTGACGAGATCCTCCCCAGACAGGGACGACTCAGACTCGCTGTCCGAACCGGTGGTGAAAAACCGCGACATGGCGACGGCGCTGAGGAGCTAAGGCCGGCGCGGCCAGACCTGCGGGAGAGCCGGAGCGTCACGGGCCACGGGAAGGGGCCCGGGCCACCACCTCCCGACCCCCAGCCCCTCACCAATCCCCGCCCGTACCCCGAACTGGGGCTCCCCCCTCAAAGCACGAGGCCCAAGAAATACGAACCAACTCGACTGAGTTCGCGAGTCACACCGCGGAACCCCAACAGCGGAAGCGCCAACAGAGGGAAAGGCGACACCTGACGTCACTCCCGGGAAACGCCGACCAACTGCACTGGACGACTACAACTCCCAGCAGGCTTCGCGCGACACAGGGGCGGAGACAAGCCTGCGTAACAGGGCGCTACGACCGTGGCGGGAGCCTTTACAAGACCGACCGTGCTCTGGTGTCATGATTCAAAACACACAGAAACCCTGGCCTCACTCCTGAACGGTGGAATCAGAGTCTAAAAAATCAAACAACTTAAGTTCTAATCCCAGATCCGCTGCTCGTGTTCCTAACTCTCTGTACTTCAGTCTCCACAAGCTACAACATAAGGGCAATAATAGCACGTACTTCATAGTGTGTTATGAAAATAAAATGATTTTGTATATGTGAAGCATTTAAGATAGTGCCTTGTTCAAAATAAGCATGTAATATTAACGAGTATTCATTCATTATTCCACAAATAGTTATTTAATGAGCATTAATTATGAACAAGCAATGTCTCAGACAAAACATAAAAGGTTCCTAATTCCACAAGGAACTCGCATTCCAGTGACGTGACATAATTAACAAGTAAACGAATAAAATATAATTCCAGAAAGCAATAAGTACCATAAAGACATTAAAATGAAAAAAGAAAGAAATAGAAAACTAATTTTAAAAGTAATAAAAACAAATAAACAAAAAAATACATTAAAGTGACTGATGAGACAGAAAGATTATTTTGTTTTTTTTAAAAAAGATGACCAGTAAGGGGATCTTAACCCTTGACTTGGTGCTGTCAGCACCACGCTCACCCAGTGAGCAAACCAGCCACCCCTATATGGGATCCGAACCCGTGGCCTTGGTGTTATCAGCACCGCACTCTACCGAGTGAGCCACAGGCCGGCCCTCATTTTTTTTTTGAAAGAAAAAAATACACTTGAGACATGCTAGGTAAATGGACGTCTTACTTAATGAACATGGTTCTTTGTACATCCACAAATATCTTTAAAGTATTTAGTATATGTCAGGTAGTGGTATGAATGATCTCTCTTTATTTTAAAATAATACACATACATTATTACAAAATGTAAATGGTGAAAAGAATATTCAGGGAAAAATAAATTTCCCTTCCACCCTTGACGTCCAGTTTCTCAGCTTTTCTCCCCAGAGGCAAGCACAATGATCAGTTTACAGTGTCATCTCACTGATGTCTCTTCCCCCCCACATAAATATATGAAAGGATGTAGATTATGTATTAGACAGGTATAAGGATTATATAGATAAGGATATTATTTATGTGTATATGTGTGTATATATATAGGGCAGGGAGAGAGAGAGAGAGAGATCTGGAATATATATATATATCCCTATCCCTACTCTTTTTTCCTGTATCTTATTTCATTATTCACATACCTTGCAGCTCATTTTCTATCAATGCATATGGATCTGTCTCATTGTCTTTAGTGACGGAATATTGTTCCATGATATGGCACACCATAAGATGTATTTCCTCACACTGCTATCGGTGACTGCCTCTTTTAAATACTCACGATAATCCTCATACCGGCCAGCTGCCAAATAAATAAATATTCACAATAATCCTGCAAGCCAGGCATTATTGTCCCCGTTCAGAGAGGAGGATGTTGATGTCCTATGAGTCTATGTGACTTGCCCAAGGTCACACTGATAGCCTATATTCCAACCCAAACATCACTCCACAGCCATTTGAACTGTTGAGAGCTGCGTTGTTATAGAGCTAGACTGACTCCAACCATTTTTGAGTTGATGCAACTTGGCCGTGGGGACAGAATAGATGGGAACGAGGGCAACTGACTAGAGAAAACCTAAGGATTTCTTCCTTTATGAGCATTTCTAAGCTCTGTAACTGGAGCCAAACATAACATGAGCATTTTTTGTTGTTTTATTGTTTTATTTTTTGGCATCTGGCCAGTACTTAGATCTGAACCCGTGACCTTGGTGTTATAACACCTCACTCTTAACTGAGTTAACTGGCCAGCCCTTGAGCTTTGTATAAATAGAATTATAAGGTATGTCTGTCCTCTTTTGCATCTGGCTTCTCTTGCTAACCATAATGCCTCTGAGATTTCATTCACGTTGTTACATGTACTGCTATAAGAGTTCATTTGTTTTGATGGCTGAATGGTCTTCAATTGTATGACTGTGCCACAATGCATTCATTCTGTTGATTGGATTGTTTCCAGTTTGGGACTATTATAAATAAAGCTTTATCAACTTTTTTGTACAAATATTTTTGTGGACATAAATACTTATCCTTTTGAGTAAGATAGCTGGGTAACAGAATGAGTATACATTGTGCTTCAGTAAATACTGCCATGCTCTAAGTGAACTTATTAAGGAGAAAAAAGGAAAATATTTTTATTAGAAAGTTGTATTTAAATATGTAAATGCTGAGACATGATTTCCTAGAAGATATAAAGAAGTTGCCAGAAATTTGCGCCTACTTACAATGACAGGTTGGATTTATGAAAAAACAATTCTAGCATGAACAAATGTTGAACTTTTTCTGTATATTTGACACTTAAAAATAAGTATGTGTATATATACTTAGCATTTTTCTGTTTTTTAAATCTTTTTTTTTTTTTTACTTAGCATTTTTATACATACTTAGAATCATGGTGAATGAGGCAGCTACAGTGCAGCTGGAAAACAATGGGTATTGCCTTCAGTGAAGGGATTTTCCAAATATAGTGAACAGTTCTTGGTGAATATCCAAACAAAACAAAATAAAAAGATTCAAACAAAACAAAATAAAATCTTCCTTTAAAGTACATGACGTCTTAGTCATCTGAGGCGGCTATAACAAAATACCATAAACTGAGTGTCTTAAACAACAAACAGCTATTTTTAGCAGTTCTGGAGGCTGGGAAGTCCACAATATATGTGCTGGCAGATTTTGTGTCTGATGAGGGCTCTCTTTCTGGTTTGCAGACAGCAGCCTTCTTGCTATATCCTCCCATGGTGGGGAGAGAGACCTTCTGTCTCCTTCTTTTTTTATAAGGGCATTAATTCCATCATGAAGTCCCCATGCTCATTACCTAATCTAACACCAATTGCTTCCCAAAGGCCCAACCTCCAAATACCATCACACTGGGGATTAGGGCTTTAACATATGAATTTGGTGTGGGGGGAACAAACATTCAGTCCATAGCAACATGATGGTTGAATTTCTGAAAAATTCAGTGCATATTAAAACCACGCTAGAAATACATTGGGTTTGTATGTAAAATGAAATTAGATTCTTGACATATATTGTTAGATTCTTGGCAGACTTTGAACAACCCCACAGACAAACTTCCAAATGACCCTAAGGGGCAGTACCATCCCACTGAGAACCACTGTTCAAGACCTGCCCTGTCCAGTGTAGTAAACAATAGCCACATGTGGCTTGTTAAATTTAAGTTAACTAATTAATATTAAATAAAATTAAAAGTTCAGTTCCTGACCCACATTTCAACCAGGGTCAAGGGTTCACATCCCCATACTAGCCAACTACCAGAAAAAAAAAAAAAAAAAAAAAAAAAAAAGACCTAAAATCAATGGAATCTAATTGAGATTCCAGAAATAAAACCCCACATTTATGGGCAGTTGATTTTCAACAAGACGTCACAACAAATCAATAGGGAAAGTCTTTTCAACAAATGGTGCTGGGACAACTGGATATCCACATGCAAAAGAATGAAGTTGGACCCTGTGTTGGGGTCCCCAGGGTCACCCCCAGTTTCAATGATTTGCTGGGAAGACTCACAGGGCTCAGCATATAGTCATACTCAAGGCTATGATTTATTACAATAAAAGCAAAATCAGCAAAGGGAAAAGGAAGGCATACGGGGCAAAGTCCTGGGGAAACCAGACAAGCTTCCAAGGGTCCTGTCCCAGTGGAGTCACACAGGATATACCTAATTCCCATAGCAATGATTTGTGACAATACATGTGAAATGTTCCCAACTAGGGAAGCTGATTAGAGATTCAATGCCAGCCTTCTTATTGGGGGCTACTTGCATTGGCCCTCTGCCTAGCATGTACCCAAATTCCAGACTCCCAGAAGGAAAGCAGGTGTTCAGCATGAACCATACTGTTTGTGCAAACAGTTTAGGCACACTGAGACATTCTAATCAATCAAGGGTGGGGATCCTCCTGAAATACAAATTCCCAGACTCCAGCCAACGGCCAGTCTTGCAAGTAGTCCTGTTCAGTTAGTGGATTGAGTCTGCTACATTAATTCTTCTCTTTACAGACCCCTACATCACACACCACAAGCAAACAAACTAACTAACTAACTTAGAATGAAACAAGACCTAAATGTAAGAGCTAAAACTATAAAACTCTTAGAAGAAAACATAGGGGTAAGTCATCATGACCTTGGATTTGGCAATGGCTTCTCAGATATGTCACCAAAAGCAGAAGCAACCAAAGAAAAAATAGATGAAAAGGACTTCATCAAAATAAAAAATTTGTGTATCAAAGAACACCATCAAGAAAGTAAAAAGACAACACACAGAGTGGGAGAAAATATTTGCAAATCATGTATCTTATAAGGGACTTGTACACTCAAAAATACAAAACAAATAATACAATTTAAAAATGAGCAAAGGATCTGAAGACATTTCTCAAAGGAAATATTAGTGTGGCCATTAAGTACATGAAAAGATATTCAACATCGTTAGCCATCAGGGAAATGCAAATCAAAACCACAATGAGATACCAATTCACACTCACTAGAATGGCTATATTATTACAAAAACCAAACCAACGAACCAACCAAACAAAAGGAAAATGGGAAGTATCGGTGAGGATGTGAAGAAATTAAAACTCCCACAACTGCTGGTGAAATGTAAAATCGTGCAGCCACTTTGGAAAACAGTCTGGCAGTTACTTAAAGGATTAAACTATAGTTACCAGGTGTCCCAGAAATCTCACTCCTAGATATTACCCAGGAGAAATGAAAAACATGTGTCCACACAAAAACTTGACGTTTATAACAGCATTATTTACCATAAGCCAAAAAATGGAAACTCAAATATCCCTCAACTAACAAATGGACAAACAAAATGTTGTATATGCATACAATGGAATAATATTCAGCCATAGAAAGGAATGTATAACATGAAAGAACCTTGCAAACATTAAGCTAAGTGAAAAAAGCCAGACACAAAAGACCACATATTACATGATTTCTTTCATGCAAAATGCCAAGAATAGGGAAATCTATCAAGACAGAAAGTAGACTGTTGGTTTCTTAGGACAGTGAGGGATTGGAAGAGTAGGGGGGGGATAGCTATAGGATATACAGGATTTCTTTTTATTTTTTCTAAAATTTTTATTTATTTATTATACATTATTTATGGGGTACAGAGTTGACTATCAGTATTTGTGTACAGTATGTGATGATCAGATCAATATTATTAGCATGTTCATCATTACAAATCATAATTATTCTTTATGTCCTTTACCAAATTACCCCTAACCCCTCCCCCTCCCCCCTTCCCACCTCTAGTAACTATAGGCCTGTTCTCTTCTTCTGAAAGTTCAACATTTTATTGTGGTCTGCCTTCCTTCCTTCTTTCCTTAGCTCCTATTTATGAGGACATGTGGTGTTTCTTTCCGTACCAGGCTTATTTCACTTAATATAATTTCCTCCAAGCTTATCCATGTTGCTGCAAACAGCAGAATTTCATTCTTTTTTATGACTGAGTAGTATTCCATTGAGCATACATACCACATTTTCCTTATCCAGTTGTCCGTCAATGGACATTTAGGTTGGTTCCATATCTTGGCTATTGTAAATAGAGCTGTGATAAACATGGGAGTGCAGGTATCCCTTCGACATGATGATTTCCATTCCTTTGGACATATGCCCAGCAGTGGGATTGCTGGATAGTGTGGAAGTTCTATCTGTAGGTGGTTGAGAAACGTCCATCCTGTTTTCCATAATGGCTGCACTAATTTACAGTCCCACCAACAGTGTAGGAGGGTTTCCTTTTCTCCACATCCTCACCAGCATTCATTATTCTCTGTCTTTTTTTATAATAGCCAGTCTAACTGGAGTGAGATGATATCTCAACATGGCTTTGATTTGCATTTTTCTGATTAGGAATGTTGAGCATTTTTTCATGTACCTGTTAGCCGTTTCTATGTCTTTCTTTGAAAAATGTTTATTCAGCTGCTTTGTCCATTTTTTAATTGGATTATTATTATTTTTTTTACTGTGAAGTTGTTTGAGTTCCTTGTATATTCTGAATGTTAATTTCTTGTCGGATGTATAGTTTGCAAATATTTTCTCCCATTCTGTAGGTTGTCTTTTCATTCTGTTGATTGTTTCTTTTGCTGTGCAGCAGCTTTTTAGCTTGATATAATCCCATGTTTTTCTTTTGTTGCTTGTGCTTTTAGGGTCTTATTCATAAAGCCTTTGCCCAGTCCTACATCCTGAAATGTTTCCCCAATGTTTTTTTCTAGGAGTTTTGTAGTTTCAGGTCTTATACTTAAGTTTTTAATCCATTTTGAGTTGACTTTGGTATACAGCAAGAGATACAGGTCTAGATTCATCCTTCTACACATGGATATCCAGTTCAGGATTTCTTTTTGAGGTGATGATGGTGTTCTAAAATGGTGGTGACGGTCACACATCTTTTTTTTTTTTTTGGCAGCTGGCCTGTACAGGGATTGAACCCTGGACCTTGGAGTTATGAGCACCATACTCTAACCAACTGAGCAAACTGGCCAGCCATTTTTTTCCTTTTCTTTTTCTTTTTTTTTTTTTTAGCATGGCACATAAGGATGTTCAGGTTACGTGTGAAAACCGATTGTATGGAATGTAAAGTTTATTTCAGTAAAGTAGTTCAAAATAATTTTTTTTTTTTTTTTTTATAAAAGATGACCGGTAAGGGGATCTTAACCCTTGACTTGGTGTTGTCAGCACCACGCTCAGCCAGTGAGCGAACCGGTCATCCCTATATGGGATCCGAACCTGGGGCCTTGGTGTTATCAGCACCGCACTCTCCCGAGTGAGCCACGGGCCGGCCCCGAAATAATTTTTAAAACAATCAATGTTGAATGCTTTTTCATTCATTTACTTAGGAAAGAATTTTAAATGATTATACCCAATGCTTAGGAGGATGCTATGAAACACACACACAAAGATGTGTGTAAACTGGTAAACAAAACCTTACAGAAAACAACGTGGTTACATATCAACAACCTAAAATGCTCATCCTTACAGATTCCACTTTTGAGAATCTCTCCTAAAGAAATACTCCTAACTATAGAGAATAATCTAACTCGCAAAGGGTTATTTTGAATAATAATAACAAATGGAAACAAGCTAAGTATTTGGCCAACATTAACAGGATGACTGAAGAAGTTGTAAAGATCCATTACAATGAAAATTACACAACCAACAAAACGAAACCTATTTTTTTACCCATGGCAAAAACCGTTCTTGGCCTGTAGAAGATAATCAAAAGTTTGTTGAACTGAAATGAAAAAAAGGCCTATATAAAGAAATTTTTAAAGAAAAAGCATAATTTGGTGGCTCTCAAAGTGTAGTTCTGAGAACAGCAGCATCAGCACCACCGTGATAGTAATGCGTGTTCCTGGTCCCTAGCTCAGCCTCCTCAGAGACCACCTGGGGGTGGGCCCAGCAATCTGTATTTTAACAAGCCCTCTGGTGTACACTCAAGTTTGAGAACCACTGGCATAATGCAATGTAAAAGGTAAAAGGCAGGATTCAGATCCTAGCATGACCAGAGCTGACAATTATTGAGTGTTGACTACGCTTTCCCATGATCTCATGTAATTCCCACAAGTACCTTATGAAGTGTTGGTATGATTGTTGTCCTCCTATGACAGACCAGAAAACTGAGGTGCAGAGAGGTGAAGGGACTTGCCCAAACTCATAGAGCTGGTGAATGGCAGAGCTAGGACCAGCAAGTCAGGTCCCTCCACCTCCAAAGCCCACGCTGTTTCCAGGAGCAGCGTCCCCAAACATCACTGGCAGTGATGGCTTAGTCTCTGGGGTACCTGGATGTTTATTTTAAACTCCAAGAGTTATATATTTATTGAATGTATAGCAGAAAAAATATATAACTAGCATTTTATTTATTTTTTTCTCACTGGTAAGGGGATAGCAACCCTTGGCACGGTGTGGTCTGCACCACGTTCAGCCATTGAGCGCACCGGCCATCCCTATATAGGATCTGAACCCGCGGCCTCGGCTCTACCAGCGCTGCACTCTCCTGAATGAGCCACTGGGCTGGCCCTATAACTAGCATTTTAAACTCATGATTCTTATAGCAACATTGTTTCTGTTTAAAATAACTGAATTCATATTAAAAGTTAGTTGCTTTAATGAAAAATATGAAGTAGATAAAAGTACTGTTAGGCACAGATATGACAAATATGGTAGAGATGGCAACAATGAGTTACAGGAAACACTGCTAAGTCGGCCCCAGCTACTGCAAAATATGTAACGATTTGTACATTTTACCATATGTAAATTGCACCTAAGAAAAGGCCTGTAAAAAATGCTGGACTCTAGTCCAGCCCCCCTTTCAACCTCTCTGTTTGAAAACTTTCATGTTGGGGAAAAAAGTATATAGATTGTCCCATACAGCAAATGAATGAATTAATAAATAAAGCCTCAAAGACTGGGCAGAAATTTGCTGAAATGCTTTCTTTATGCTCTTCTGTATATATATTCTAACGTGGGCTTATCTTCCATTTATAATAAAAGAAACTTTTATTTTTTGAGAGAGAAAAATGGCATGAGAAGTCACTGGATAAAATAGGCTTTTATTCAGAGGGCATAATGCCAAGCAGCAGCTCCCCGAGACCAGCTTGGGAGTGGGAGACACTGGCTGCCGCGTTTGCAGGGGGAGCCAGGCCCTAGCACCTCCCTACCCCCAGCCCTGGGGGAAGGTGGAGCAGAGCTGTGGATAGGCTCTGGAGCGGGCCTGGGTGTCTGGCCTGCCCGCCTGCCCACAAGTCAGTGTGTCTTGTGTCCCAGGGAGCCCAAGGGTCAGGAAAGGTGGCAGAGGAAGTCATGCAGAGGCAAGGCCAGGAGCCCCGACAAGGAGATTCCCAAGGTGTCAGAGATGCAGGTGGTTGCCATGGCAAATTCCCGGTGCTCATCACTGGTCTGGGAGGGCAGAGAGCAGGGGTCAGGCTTCAAACCTAGAGATCCCAGCCCCAGACTTCCCCAGAGAGGATACCCATGGCCCTCGCCCAGCTGGTGCTGACCTCCAGGGCAATGTTGTGGAAGGTGTTCACGTAGGCCGCGCCGCCCAGAAGCCCCTCATACAGAATGATCAGGAAGACGAGGTAGATGCTTGGCAGGAAGCTGAACCATACATCTGCCAGCAGGAAGGCCAGGTTGAGGCACTGTGGACAGAGGCAGAAGGCAGGGCTGAGCCTGGGACCAGAGCAGGGCAGGAAGGGAGGCTAGGCATCCCATCCAGCAGCCCCTGGTTCTGGGCAATATTGCGACGGAGAGGGCTGAGAGGCCTGGGTAAAATCCCAATGTGGAGCTTGGCCAAGCAAACCCAGGAACCTGGGGTAGGTCTTCTCTCTACCCCCCGCAGCACCCTATACCTGGCAGGGCTCATCCCCCTTCCCCACTTTGCTCCCATCACTCCTGCCCCCTGGAATGCCAGTCCTCCTTCCCTCACTTGGGATCTCCATGTCGCCTTTCATGGTTCAGCTTGGATCAGAGTCACTCCCACTCCTGTGATCTCATTTCCTCCTCCCAAGGGTTCCTTGCATAGAGAGTCCCCGCCCCACCTTTTATTGTACTGAGACGAGTGGTTCTCAAACGGGGATGATTTTGTTGCTCAGAGGACATTTGGCAACATCTGGAGGCATTTCTGGTATTCTTGGTTGCCATAACTGGGGGAAAGGGGACGGATTGCTACTGGCATCTAGTGGGTTGAGGCCAGGGATGCTGGTAAACACTCTACAATGCACAGGGCAGGTCTCCCCACCCCCCAAAGAATTATCTGGCTCCAAATGTCAAGAGTGTTGAGGCTGAGGAACTCTGGTTTAGATGTTCCCACCTCTTGTAGGAAGCCTCCCTGACCCCCACCCAAGAGTGCAGGTCTCTCCAGGGGATGCTGCTATCCCAGCCCTGTGCATATTGTGTTGTCTCTCTACTGTGTAGGCCACCACCTGGCAGGTCACACTCTGCAGGGACATAAGAATCACCTGGGGATCTTGTTAAAAATATACCATTCAGGGCCGGCCCGTGGCTCACTCGGGAGAGTGCGGTGCTGATAACACCAAGGCCCCGGGTTCGGATCCCATATAGAGACCGGTCCGCTCACTGGTTGAGCGCGGTCCAGCGCAACACCAAGGGTTGCGATCCCGTTACCGGTCACGAAAAAAGACAAAAAGGAAAAAAAAAAAAAGATGACCGGTAGGGCCGGCCCGGTGGCGCACTCGGTAGAGTGCGGCGCTTGGAAGCGCGGCGGTGCTCCCGCTGAGGGTTCGGATCCCATATAGAGACCGGTCCGCTCACTGGTTGAGCGCGGTCCAGCGCAACACCAAGGGTTGCGATCCCGTTACCGGTCACGAAAAAAGACAAAAAGGAAAAAAAAAAAAAGATGACCGGAAAGAGGATCTTAACCCTTGACTTGGTGTTGTCAGCACCACGCTCAGCCAGCGAGCTAACCGGCCATCCCTATATGGGATCCGAACCCTCGGCGGGAGCACCGCCGCGCTCCCAAGCGCCGCACTCTACCGAGTGCGCCACCGGGCTGGCCCTACCGGTCATCTTTTAAAAAAAAAAAACATCACTCAATCTGCCCACCCCAGCCCCCATCCCCAAGAGGACCTAATGCAGTAAGTCTGAGATGGGCTAAGAGATCTATGTTAAAAAGAACACACCTCAAAAAGAAAAATAAAAAATAAAATAAATGAAAATTAAATTAAATTAAAAAAATTGAAAAATAAGAAAAATAAAGAACACACCTCACCATGGTCCAGGATTCAATTCCTGTACCATTCAGCCACACACATAAAAAAACACACCCTGGTAATACTAATGTAACAGGTGAAACACTACAAACATTTTAATCTGTGGCGATAGACTAGGCACTTTCTGTAATGGAAACAAATAATTATAAGCCCTAATTCTATGAAACAGCCTTGGTTAAAATTATAGCTAAAATCACAAGCTACACATTTCAGCAGCATCTAGAAGGATCCTGAGTTGCAAATTGTTGGCATAACAATTTGGGACTTTGTGAGTACAAAGCCCTGGACTGGCAGTACTGCTTACATAAAAAGGGATAAAGGTTAGAGAATATTTATATGCTTTTGCCATAACATTAAAGTGTCATCTACACTTTATCTTGTTATCACAGAATTCAGTTCTTAAGTATTAAGGGTAAAGGACTTTCCTGTAGGAGTTGAAGGTTTGTTTCAGGGACTGTAGACTTGTAACCCTGAAACAAGAACACTGGGTATGTGAAACTCCTTTTCTTAGACTGTTGTGGTGAACAGTGTTTGAGCACTTAAAGTTGTAGGCTACTGTTTCCAAGGGTAGTTGAATTTGCTCACCAGCCTTCAGATAAATTACCAATTAACTACAATGTCACTGATCCACTTTAATTAACCATTGAGAATAAAAGAACTGTACATTTTCTTATAGTTAGAAGCGTTATTGGAAAGTCTGTCTCTCTGCATAAGGCAAATGCAAATAATCATTAAAAGAATGATTAAAACACAACAATAATCTTGTTCTTCCATTCTTCTTATCTCTATTTCTTATAACTGCCCTGACAAATAGATGTTGGCCATACCATACCTGATTCATAGATGAGGAAACTAAGGCTCAGAGAAGTTCAGAGACCTGCCCTAAGTCACCCAGCTGAGTACAGAAGCTGAAATTTGTACCCAGGCTTGCCTAGCTCCTGAGGCTACACATTTTACACACAGCCCTGCTGGCCTTCGGTTCTCCGTGCTTAGAAATGATAGCACAAAAAGGTCACAGGTTTGGATCCCCATACCGGCCAGCCGCCAAAAGAAAAAAGAAATGAGTGTACAATAAACACTTCCTGCTGAAGGAGGGAAGCAGCGGGGAGTGGGGAAGCCAGGATCCAAAGTGGGAGTGGAGTGCGGGAGGGGCAGGGGCTTGGTACCTGCAGAAGGGCCAGGGCCCATGTGAAGCGGATGCGACAGCAGCGGAGAGAAGAGCGGGAGGCAAAGACGCCAGCTTGGTACAGCATCTGGTACCTGAGGTGGGGCACGGAGTGGGAGGAAGCTCCCCTGGGTACCTACTCACTCCACCCGGGTGCCTACCGGGCAGGGTGGCCCCTCCCAACCCCAGTCCCCATCATCAAGGGGCCTGTCCTGCCACCCACCCTCATCCTCTTACCAGCGGTATTGCTGAGCGTGACTCAGGGATGTGTTCCGGAAATAGAGGAGCTCGAACTACAGCAAAGACCAGACAGGAGAGATAGACGGGAATGCGTGGGTCCCAACCCCGGTCCCTAGTTCCACACACCTCCCCAAGCCCCCATCACTCACAAGTCCCTGATTGATGAAATACTCGGCAAAGTACACCAGGACCAAGGGGATGATGTACCACAGCAGGCCCTAGAAGAGTCAGAAGATATAAAGTGGGAGGCAGGAAGATGGGCACCATCCACAGGGGACACACCACAGCCACCATCCGAACCTTGAACACAGTCCACCTTTCCTGAAGGGAGAGGTTGGGGCTGGAGCCTGCAGGTGAACAGGGAGAGAGGGACAGGTGAAGTTTCCACTCTGAAGACTTGGCCAAGGGGCACCAGGTATGAGGATTAACACGACAGCATGAACTGGGCTTTGATGCCACTGGATTGCACATGTAAAAATGGTTAAAGTGGCAAACTTCATGTTGTGTATATATTTTACCACAATTAAGAAAAAAAAAAAAAGAGTTAACCATCATGGCTGTTGTGCAGTTCAATAGCTGTCCACCTGCCCACTTCTCTCCATTTCTAAAACATCCAAGCTCATTCCCACAGCAGGGCTAGCACTTCCTGATCCCTCTGCCTGGACCCTGTTCACCAAGATGTGCACAGGGCTGTCTCCCTGTCTGCCAAGTTTCAGCCCTAATTTTGCCTCTTCAAGAAGGCTTCTCTAGGGGCTGGCCCATGGCTCACTCGGGAGAGTGTGGTGCTGACAACACCAAGTCAAGGGTTAAGATCCCCTTACCAGTCATCTTTAAAAAAAAAAAAAAAAAAAAAAAGAAGGCTTCTCTAAAGAAGAACCTTCTCTAAAATAGAACCCCTCTGCGTCTACCCCCAACTGTCATCTTCTGTCACATTACTGTTTTATGTTCTCCCAGCGATTAACAATATGTGAAAAGAACTTGTTTCTGACCCATTTATTTGTTTACAAATCTGTCTCATTTCCTCGTCTTGGTCACCACTGTGCCCCCAGTGACCGGAATGCCTGGCACATGGTAATGAGTGTTTTGATGAGTACTCAATGAGTGTTTCTGGAACAGACGAAATGCTTTTACTGTGACCCCTTCCCCTCTCGGCTGTGTCCATCATAGAGATGTAAAGACTGAAACCCAGAGAGAGAAAGTGACCTCTCTGAGGTCTATGTCTCCCACCTGGCTTCAACTCCGGGGCCTCACTGCCTATCAGTGGTTGCCGGGCTGATGTCTCTGCCTCTCCTTCCCCTCCAGGGTCCTGGGGCTTGGGAGCCGTGAGCAACAGGAAATAGCTGGGAGTGGGCAGAATGAAGACAGGGTCAAAGAGCCCTGCTGGTTTGTAAAGGCCCCCAGAGGCCATCTAGGTCATGCCCTCCCAGGGGTCCCTCCACACCAGTACAGTAGCTTGCTGCCTCTAAGGCACTCCCCCCACAACCCCATGCTGGAGAGCTCCAGATGTGGAAAAATGCTTGCTTCTTCAGAGCTGAATTTGTCTTCTGCTTGTTTTAATGAGTCAGTTCTGTTTTCGGTTATGATTATTATAACACTCGTTCTAGCTACTGTTCATTGTATGTCCACTCTATGCTAGGCCAGAATGCCCCAACTTTTAGTCACTTACGATCTGGCTTCACATAATTTGCCATATCTACATCCCTCCTGTAGGTAATATTTTTTACTTAATATTTTCCTTTAAATTGACTCACTCTTTCTACCTGGGCTTGTCCTAAGCAATAATCTGGAAGGTCCAGGTTTAACTGGTTAGTTAAACTTGTTTCCCAATATGCGTGAAAACATACACAGAACTAATAAAACAAAGTCCACCCTTGCCTCATGTCAGATCATCTCAAGAGCCACATTGTGCCAAACAATTCCCACTCATCACCTTCCAGGAAAGCAAGAACTACCACCCCTTGAGATGGGGGAAACTGAGGGTCAGAGAAGTGAACCAACTTGTCTAATGCCACACAGCTGACAAGCAGCAGCTCCAGGACTCAAACCCAGGGCAAGGGTCCTGAATCTACATCTCCTCATAACAAGGCTGTAGGGATCTGAAGATTGGGATCATGATCAAGTTCTCTTTCTTCGAATCCCTCTTCCTCTTAGCCCAGGGCAGCTCACCTGGCCAGCAGCAGGGCAGGGACACCCAGCATGGACAGCAGGGTGTGCTGGGGGGAGAGGCCAGCCTGGGTGAGGCCCAGGTAGGACAGTGCCCCCAGCAGCCCTGCTCCCCCAGTCCCCGAGGACCACCAGGAGATTACAGCCCTGAGGAGGAGAACAGAGAGTACTCAGGAGGGCACAGCCAGCAGTGGGACAGCCTCCCTGTGCTCCTTGCTTGCCTGCTTACCTGGAGTAGAAGGCAGTGAGCGAGAGGAAGGTGACCTCCCCTAGGCCTGATGAGATGCTAGCCAAGACCACACCTGGGAGGAGGAAGCACGGAGATGGCCATGCCCAGCCATTCTCCGCTAGCCCTGGTCCCCTAAGGTGTCTGACCATGGCCTCCTCTGCATCCGCTCAGAGGGGCTACAAACAGACCCCCTGGACAGGCTGGGTTCCAGATCTGAAGAAGAGCCAACCCCCTCCTCCATGTGCCCACTCCCAAAACAGTACCTCCATCCTCCCAGTTACCAAACCATGAGCAAGAACTCATCCCGACACCTCCTCAACCCATCACAGAGTCCTGGTGACTCTGCTCCTCTCGATCCCCATCCATCCACCCATCTCCTCCACCATCTACCCCTCCCAAATGCCCTCCTCTCCCATCTCGTCTGTGATAGTCCTAGCAGGCTTCTGAGGGTTACAGCAATAATCCCTTTTCCTCTGGGAAGCTGGGGAGACAGCCCCCACAAATGCTTGGCTGTGGTTCCTCTGGGCTCCCCCACCTGACACAGAACTGCACACTCACCACACAGGCTGATTGCCACTGAATGAGAAAAGGCAACCAGGATGAAGCTCCCAGCAGCACAAACCCCACTGAACAAAACCCGAGGGCTGAGGGTGAGAGGTGGGCAGGGAGGGGGAAGGTCAGCCTCTGCTCTCAGCTCCCCCAGCCCTCCCACCACCTCCTCTGCCCTCCCAGCCAGCCTCCCCAATCTCAGGTCCCACCCAGACCTGTAGGGCAGCAGATGAAAGCCAAAAGGAGCCAGCAATTTGATGACAAGGGTGGGGAGGATGTCTGCCAGGAGCACCGCCTGGGACAGGAGAGCAGAATGAGACCCCAGATCTTCCCACAGACAACCCTCGCAACCCAGTGGCCAAAAAAGACAGGGGCCAGCCAATTAGACCTGCTACAAATACAGGCTCTGGAGTCAGAAGATCGGGGTTCAAGTCCCAGCTCTGCCTCTCCTTAGCTGTGAGTTAAGGCATTTACAATCTCTGAGCTTCAGTTTCCTCATCTGGAAAATGGGGTGATTACAGTGCCTAGCTCCCAGGACTGTCGTGTGGATTAAATGAGCTAATATATGCGACACATGAAAGGGCTCAGAATATGGGGGTCCCAGTCATGACAGTCCCAGCTGGGTGCTGAGGGGTCGGGATGGGGAGTGGTGGAGTCTACAGACACAGAGAGCCTGGGTCAGGAGAGGACTGGATTAGTACTCACAGCCGTGGAGACAGAGTTGCAGTCAAATCGAGATGAAATATTGTGGGGGATGGGCGTTGGGCCTGGGTCCACCTGACAGGAGAGAAGAAAGCCTTTCACCCAGGGAGGCAGGAGGTAGACAAACATAGTCTGGCTCCACTCTTGGCTCTGCTTCCACTTAAAGGATGGCTTTGGGTCAGCACTGGCCTTTTGGGGCCTCAGTTACTCTATATGCATGACGGAGGGTGGTGGATTGACTGAATTGTATCCCCCCAAAGTTCGTATATTAGAAGCTTAATTCCCACTGTAACTGTTGAGGGTGGGAAATGCTATTATGGTAATCGAAAGGTGGGACCTTGGAGAGGTGTTTGGATTGTGAGAACTGCACCTTTGTGAGTAGATTGATCCAATTTTGGAATAGTGGGCATGGTTCCGAGGGCTTTAAAAAGACAGTGTATGAGGAACTATGTCTCTCTGCTTTGCCATTTTCTCCCATGTGAGACCCCTGGGTCACTACTGCCACCACCAAGACCCTCACCAGACGTGTTCCCTGGACTGTGGACTTCCCAGCCTCTGAAACTGTAAGCAATGAATTTTTTTTTTTTTTTTTTTTAAAGATGACCGGTAAGGGGATCTTAACCCTTGGCTTGGTGTTGTCAGCACCACGCTCACCCAGTGAGTCAACCGGCCATCCCTATATGGGATCCGAACCCGGGGCCTTGGTGTTATCAGCACCGCACTCTCCCGAGTGAGCCACGGGCCGGCCCAGAATTTTGTTTTTTTATAAATCACCCACTATCAGATATTTTGTTATAAGCAATGTAATGTGCTAATACAGAGGGGTTTTCCATGTAATGGAAATGGCTCACAGGCCAAAGATGGTCCTGTAAATGGACTTTAGGTAACACACACAAGAGGTTTCATATAAAATTTAGGGTTTCCAAAAAATCTGATCCTGGACCAAATTCCCTGTTGGATCTGCAAGATGGTGGCTACTCCCCTAGGATGGGGCACAGACCATCCATCTCACCACAGACAAGTGGTTCTCAACCAGGGGCTACACCCCCCACCATGGAACATTTGTCAATGTCTGGAGACAGTCTTAGTTGTCACAACTGGGGGTTGGGTGGTATGCCACTGGCATCTAGTGGTAGAGGCCAGGGATGCTGCTAAACATCCTGCAATGCACAGGACAGCTCCACAACAAAGAATCATCCAGCCCAAAATGTCAACAGGGTCCAGGTTAAGAAACCCTCCCACAGACCATAGTCCCACCCAGCCAACATTTGAATTTGCAAACGTGGCACCCACTGATCTTTTAAAGGCCATTCCTGTTCTAAAGGGTCTGGGAGGGGGGCCAGCCCGTGGCTCACTTGGGAGTGTGGTGCTGATAACACCAAGGCCACAGGTTCGGATCCCATATAGGGATGGCCAGTTAGTTCACTGGGTGAGCATGGTGCTGACAACACCAAGTCAAGGGTTAAGATCCCCTCACTAGTCATCTTTTAGAAGAAAAAAAAAAAGGGTCTGGGAAACTGGGAACTTTAGCCCTATTGCCCCACCTCTTGGCCACCCCATTCCATGAGTTTTTCAAGAGGGCCTCTGCCTCAGGGTGGGTCCCTCGTCTTCTCATACGAACTAAGTGTGGTGGTGGTGGTAGAGAAGGGGTCACTTACATGGCTCTGGTTTCCAGGTGCCCTCTCCTGGCTAAGGATGTCATGGGCAGCACTTAGCATCACCACATAAGAGAAGTTGTTGCAAAGGCCCAGGAGCCTGGAATGAGCAGGACAGATATTAACTTTATTTCAGGCCTACAATCCAATCCATCCACAGTCCCTGCACTAAACCTCCCCCTTACCTGTACCCTTCAATCACCTCCCTCTTTTTTTCTCTCTATCACCAGATCCATCTTCATTCAGTGTTAGGGTCAGAAATAGGGGCTTTGCAGGGAAAAAAAAAAAAAAGAAATAGGGGCTTTGGAATCACAGACAGGTTCACTTCCAACCTCCAAGATCTCTTCCGGAAGCTATCCTTGAACTCTCTCCTCTGAGCTCCCATTACAATTCATTTCCTGGGACATTTCTCATCCATTGATGTACTGTGGTAGAGTAAAAAAAAAATCCCAAAGCACTATGTTCAGGCCCCAACTCTGCTGCTTCTTACTTTAGTGGTCTCAGTCTACTTGTGTGTAAAATGGGGATACAAATTTCTCTCCAACCTCACAGAGCGCTGAAAGGATCAAAACAAGATAATACCAAAGCTCTTCACGATCCACGAAGGGTCTTGTTTGCTTAGTCTCACCTCCCAGAGCTGCGCTCAGTGATGGGAAGAACATTGGGCCCAGCACCAATATTTCCTAAGTGTCCTTTCCACAGTCACTACTTCATTAAGTGGTACCACTACTCATCCCATTTTACTGTGGAGCAAACCGAGACTCAGACAGGTTAAGTGACTTTTCCGTAGAGTTACATGGGAAGCCACTTCCAACCCAATCTGCCACCTAAGTCCTCGATGTTCAGGTTAATGCTAGAAGTATTTCCCAAGGCTCAGTATTTGAGTGATTTTAGAAGGTGGATGCATGACCGCTTAACAGGATTTAACGGTGCATTTATTAAAACCTGCATTAGGAAAATATGGTTTTCCATTTGAAGTAGTGATTTAAAGTTTTCTTTTTTAAAATACGTGCATTTAAAAACTTTAAGGTTGAATTGGTGGGGGGAAAAACATGAAGTAAATAATCCTACAGGTGGTATGAGGATCTGGCCAAAACGTGAAGGTGGTAGGTAAATGAGTGGAGTTTGGATGGTGTACAGGCGGCCTCTGGGAAACCAGTCAGTAAGCATTTGTGGATTCAGTTCCTTTCTGCAGCTCAACCCTTTCTTCCCCCTTTCTCCTGTCGCTTCCCTCTTCCCACCGCCGTTTTACTTCTGCTCAACTCTCAGGCCACTCACCAGAAGCCCACCGCGTTCTTCCAGTGGGCACCCTGATGGTCCAGCTGAGGGGCCCGGGGCTCCGGGGCGGCCTCCTTCCCTGGTAGGGAAAGAAGAGGGCATGACCTCCACCCCACTCTCAGGTGCACGACGACCCCACGGTGTCCTCCCGGGGCGGAGGCAGCGCCCACGCCCCTCAGGTGGGTCGCAGGGCAGAGGTAGTCACTCCCTGAGGGCGGGCCGTAATACTCACCCTCGGAATCCGAAAGGCGCCGCCACCGCGAGCCCGCACAGCTTCCCATGGCATCAAGTTCAGGTCCCCCGAAGGGTCCGAAGTCTGAGAGTGTTCAGAGTTAGCTCCGACGCGGCGGATGAGGGTCTGCGACAGGTGGGAAGGATCAACGCCCCATTGCCGCTCCCAGCTCCGGCAGACATGCTGCACTCGCGCCCCGCGATCCTTCAGGCGAGGCCCGGGCTCCATCTCGCGCCCTCCCACGCCCCATCCGTCGGGTTCTGCCCCCGCCCCCTCTAGAGCTGGGGCCCTACCGCCTGTACCTTTAAGAGCAGCGGAGCGTTCCGTACCGAGGAGCTGCAGCTTGGTGGTCACGTGACAGCATCCGCGGGGCCTTCATCACGTGCTCGGAGGTCCTCCCTACTTCCGGGGCCTCTCTCCATCTTCGTTTAGGCCGTCTCAGCTTCGGGGCGTGGGAAAGGAAGAAGCCGAGAGAACCCACGAACCGCTGGTTTTAAACTGGAGAGGGTGAGATCAGCAAAGAGCCGTGACGTCAGATTAGCGGCGCCCGAGGCCGTGACGGCATTATGCCAGCACTAGTCATGGCTGCGGGCGGCTTCAGCTCCCTCCTTGCCAGAAACAAAGATGGCCACTTGGCTACTTTAGGGACAGGAGTGTTCCTGGCTGGGAATAAAGATGACCAGCTTTAGGTCACTCTTACTCCTATCTGTTGCCCTTAAAAATTGTTGTAGACGCCTGTAATAAAGATAACAACCATCTAAGGAGATTTCGTGAATTATCTATCGACAGTATCCAAGGCATTGAGATCCCCTTTCTCAAGTTATCCTAGAACCAAACAATTTCACGAAAGTAGTCCAACCCCTGGTTTTACACATGAGACAAACGAGGTACCAAAAGAAAAGAAAAAAAGTTACTGACGATCATACAAAGTTAGACCTAAAGGTGACCTTAGAGACCCATTTAGCGAAAACAGAGCTCCGGAGCCAGGGAGCCATTGAACAGGCTGCTGCAAGATTCCTGCCTCCATCATGGGTGCTTAGACCCTCTGATTGTAAAACCTGAGATTCTGATTCTGTGATCTGATCCAATTGCCCTAATTGGAAATTAGGAAAGAGGGGCG